TCCATATGGGCAAAGTCACCATTGGCGGGGAGATTCTGTGCAGAGTTTGTTATCCTCTCTTCGAGTGCAACTAGGTCACGTGGCTCTGTTACTGAGTATTCCACAGTTGTGCGCACAATGCACGACCTCGGATTAATCATAAAATCCATTTGTAGGGTTGCTATCTATAATACCAGACGAGTAGGCTTCACACGCCATCACTTTTGGTTGCTCATGCACCACTGCAATAGGCTGTTCACACACCCTCTCCTTTGACGAGTCAAAATTTGAACTTGATGATTCCGGCTGAATTTCTTCTTCTGATGACTTCCAAGGCATTGCTCGTAAATGTGGCCCAAATTTCATACTATTCCTCATATTGAAATTATTATGGCATCCATTCTAATCATGACCAATTGACCCATACTTGTAACAGAAATCTCCAAGTCTCTCATATTTCAGTGTAATTAATTTATTAGGTAGCTCAATTCTGGGTAGCCAGAAATGGGTATGGAGTGGCTTTGATGGAACAATCTAAACTCTGGTTCAGATATAATTTTTCTATTTAGTTTTTTGTTGAAGTAGTTGCTATGAATCTGTTGAAACCCCCAAAACTTCAGTAATCCTCAGACCATTCTCTTTGTTTATCATTTCTGGCGGCAATCCATGAGTCTGGATCCAAAATGGGCAAGAGTTGAAATTTATTTCATTGAGTTTTACTCTTGGAGTTCATTGCTTCAGCACCATANAAATAAATCTCATATAATTAAATAACTATTAATCCTACCCTAAGTGGTATCAAATAACATAAGTTTCACCAACAAAATAATATAAATATCAAGAACAATAATAAGTGATATGATCATTTTGTTTTCCAATTAAAATCCCAAATTGAACATTGTTTGTGAAGCGTAATGGCAAGGTCAATTGCAAGAGTAAATATAAACAATGTTATTAGGACCTTTAGATTGATTGTAGATTTCATTAAACATTAGAATTTAGTATTAATCTAATGATTTCACTGAAACTATAGCAAATTAAGTTAGATTTTTAAATTTAAATAAGATTAGTTAAAAAATATCGGGTGTAACTATTCTAACATGATATAACTGATTAATAAAAAAATAACAAAAAAGATAAAATAAGAATCACTTCTTAGTATAGAAATGGTTTTGTATTACATAATTAGGTGATTAAGAATTTTAATAAGACTCATTTATTGATTTGTTTATGTATTAATGGATAATTAGACCACGCAGCGTAACGGTTATTGCAATTTTTTTTCCGACCACATACAAAAAAGGTTGAACCGGTTTGAGTTGGAACCAACGTACTAAAGTCCGAACTCCGAACCAATGCGCAAGCTAGCGTCTAATTCGTAGTAACCTTGCGCGGGAGCGCAATTTAGCGATCATTCTCAAAACTTTTGACAAAGGCGGGCGTCAAATCAGCCCGGAAAATAGAAATGGTTCGCCCGGGGTAAAACCGACACAAAAACCCACACATTTCGATAACAAACCCCACATTCTCTCCCCAAACTACCCTTGCCCTCGCATTTACTCCTCCTCCCTCATTTTCTCTCTCCTCTGTCCTCATCTTCGTTCATGGAGAACCAGAGGAGCCATGGCCATGAGCAACCAGCGAGCTCCGTGAGAAGAAGCTTGAAGCGAAAGCTGGAGGAAGATTTGGAAGAAAATCGCAAGATCGTATCTATATCTCTCGAAGATCACCAAGATCTCAGTCGTGAGGTTCTTGCTCAGGTGGAGGTTCTAGACTCTACTTTTTCTTCGATTGAAGCAGATCGTGCCTCCGCCAAGCGCGCTATCCATGTTCTATCTGAACTAGCGAAGAACGGTGAAACACCAACGCTCGATATCCTCATTTCATCTCAATTGAATATTTTTATGTTGTCCGTACANAAGAGAGAAGCAACAAAAAAAATCCTTTTATAGTAGAATCAGATTTGCTGCAAAGGAAGTTCGAAGAAGATACCTCATGAAAGAGGGAGGGGGTGTTATACGTGTTTCCCTTTTTCCCATTTTTTTGTCTGTNTTTTTATGTTGTCCGTACAGTTTTGATGTTGATTTGAGTTGCACTGTCGAGTTTGTATGTTTCATCGACTTTCGTAGTGGTTTAGGGTTTTGATCTTTGGATGATTTATACGTTTGCAGAGGAAATTGTGAATGTGATTGTTGATTGCGGGGCAGTTCCGGTACNCAGTTTTGATGTTGATTTGAGTTGCACTGTCGAGTTTGTATGTTTCATCGACTTTCTTAGTGGTTTAGGGTTTTGATCTTTGGATGATTTATACGTTTGCAGAGGAAATCGTGAACGTGATTGTTGATTGCGGGGCAGTTCCGGTGCNTTTTTTTTTTTGTAAATTGAAGAACTAAAAACTCAAACCAAACATGCTCTTACTTTCCCATGTAAAAGTTTGTGGACAAAACCCACACAGGAGTACTCGCATGCAAATTTTTTTGGGAAATATTTAGTGGCTGATGGTTTTTTGTTTTTTCTTTAATTTTTTTATCAAATGATTCATTTTGTTCGAGAAATTTGAGTTATGTTTGAACGATGTCAAGCTACACTATTATAGGAATCACTTAGAAAATTACTTCGTCGCCTTTAAAAACGACGTCATTTTTTATTGGATTTTTGCAAAAATCAAAACCCTCTTTCGCCCTCATCGATCCCTTAATCCATGTGATGTGAGAATTGACGCTCCGCTCTCCTTGTTTTGTCTTCTCTCTCTATTTCTCTATTAGATCTGCCAATTGATGAAGTTTGAATCTGGTTCGGACTGGTTCAAATCCGATAATCCGACAGATTTTATTTTCGTAGTCTATATTTGAATATGTTAACAATTCAAATAATTTAATTAACTATAATTTAAAAAATTAAACCTAAATTTTAATTAAATTTCTTTAAATAATTACTTAATTTTATTTAATATTTATATAAAAATATATAAATAATTCGGATTGGATATATGTATATCCAAATCCAAATTCACAAAATATAAAATATTAGATTCGAATTTGAATTCGAATTATTGAAAAAAAATATTAACTCAATTAATTATAATCCGATCGGATTTAAATCTGATTCATCGAAAGGCCTACTATCTGCTACAAATACAATCTCTCAGTCCAGTTCGGTCAATTTCGCACATTGTTGAGTCGCTCCTAACCGTAGATTGAACAACCCAATTGGCCCCAAAAAAAACCTAGTACCCAACCCACTACTCTCCTCTTCTATTCCAACACAATCTGCTAGATGCCTATCAGTTTCACTGTTTGGGCTTCTTAGTATTTACAATGGGTTGTTGAGTTGTGTTGAACATCAACCAGCCTACGTGTTGGCATGTGTAGATTATTCTATTCAAAAATTTTTGAATGAATTTTCTACTTGTATGTGGTATTTGCAAATTTTTTTTTTTTTAAAATAAAAATCCTAATTTAAAAAGAAGTTAATACTTATATGATCCAACTAATCAAATAAGAGAATGAATGGAGATGTTAGGCCCTGTCCACATTTCATTGGCCCATATTGTATACGAGCCGAGTAATTGTTGGGATTATGGATGGGCCCCAGAAAGATCCGAGCCCAGAAAACAAACGTCCTAGGCCTTTCTTTTACTCAACTTCACAGATTGCCCAATGAGTAGCCCAGAAACCGATGTGTGGTATTTTGATTGGTTGGTGTTATCAGAATTGGATTGGACCCGATTGACGAAGCAACCCGTTGAACCAACAATAAACTGTGTAATTGGCCAATTTTTGAAAAAACTAGACAACCGGACAGTGTAGAAACTTGGGCGGTTCAATTTGAAGTGCTATAAAAACCAGTTTTGGGGGCAAGTTTGCTCTAAATTAGGAGAAAATATTAGATGTAACAGATAATACCACGTTACTAATGTCACGCTGTATAACTGTCTATTAATAAATAAATAAATAAGCAACTGAGTCTCACAAATTTAATTAATCACCAATCCATGTAATTTGTAATTTTCATGTAATACAATAGGATCCACTTTATTTATTTTTTGATTTTTTTATTAAACAGTTACATCACGTGATAATGGTGACGTGGTGTAATTGTTATACCCAATATTTACTCTTATTTTACATTTCTTCTCTTAATGTAACTCTCACAAATGAGTAAATATTACACCATGTCATCATTCTAATAGGATGTAATCGTCCGATAACAAGATAATATGGTGATAAATAAATCTCATATAATTAAATAACTATTAATCCTACCCTAAGTGGTATCAAATAACATAAGTTTCACCAACAAAATAATATAAATATCAAGAACAATAATAAGTGATATGATCATTTTGTTTTCCAATTAAAATCCCAAATTGAACATTGTTTGTGAAGCGTAATGGCAGGGTCAATTGCAAGAGTAAATATAAACAATGTTATTAGGACCTTTAGATTGATTGTAAATTTCATTAAACATTAAAATTTAGTATTAATCTAATGATTTCATTGAAATTATAGCAAATTAAGTTAGATTTTTAAATTTAAATAAGATTAGTTAAAAAATATCGGGTGTAACTATACTAACATGATATAACTGATTAATAAAAAAATAACAAAAAAGATAAAATAAGAATCACTTCTTAGTATAGAAATGGTTTTGTATTACATAATTAGGTGATTAAGAATTTTAATAAGACTCATTTATTGATTTATTTATGTATTAATGGATAATTAGACCACGTAGCGTAACGGTTATTGCAATTTTTTTTCCGACCACATACAAAAAAGGTTGAACCGGTTTGAGTTGGAACCAACGTACTAAAGTCCGAACTCCGAACCAATGCGCAAGCTAGCGTCTAATTCGTAGTAACCTTGCGCGGGAGCGCAATTTAGCGATCATTCTCAAAACTTTTGACAAAGGCGGGCGTCAAATCAGCCCGGAAAATAGAAATGGTTCGCCCGGGGTAAAACCGACACAAAAACCCACACATTTCGATAACAAACCCCACATTCTCTCCCCAAACTACCCTTGCCCTCGCATTTACTCCTCCTCCCTCATTTTCTCTCTCCTCTGTCCTCATCTTCGTTCATGGAGAACCAGAGGAGCCATGGCCATGAGCAACCAGCGAGCTCCGTGAGAAGAAGCTTGAAGCGAAAGCTGGAGGAAGATTTGGAAGAAAATCGCAAGATCGTATCTATATCTCTCGAAGATCACCAAGATCTCAGTCGTGAGGTTCTTGCTCAGGTGGAGGTTCTAGACTCTACTTTTTCTTCGATTGAAGCAGATCGTGCCTCCGCCAAGCGCGCTATCCATGTTCTATCTGAACTAGCGAAGAACGGTGAAACACCAACGCTCGATATCCTCATTTCATCTCAATTGAATATTTTTATGTTGTCCGTACAGTTTTGATGTTGATTTGAGTTGCACTGTCGAGTTTGTATGTTTCATCGACTTTCTTAGTGGTTTAGGGTTTTGATCTTTGGATGATTTATACGTTTGCAGAGGAAATTGTGAACGTGATTGTTGATTGCGGGGCAGTTCCGGTACTGGTGCGGCATCTTCAGGCGCCGCCGCCGTTGAGAGAAGGAGACACTGGTCCGAAACCATACGAGCATGAGATTGAGAAAGGAAGCGCCTTCACGCTTGGACTTCTCGCCATCAAAGTAGTTATCTAAATTGCATTTTTAATCTTTAGGATTTTATTGTTTGATCTCTGTCGGCCTTTAATAAAATATCTTTAGGAAATTTCTGGACTTGTCGATGAAGTATACAATAAAATTGTCTAATTGATCTGAGAGTTACAAATGGAAATATATCTAATTAGTAAAATGTATCATATGCCTAGAGGTGCCACTGAAATTTCTTACTTGCATTTATTAGTGGAGAGAAGGTGCTCTGGTTTCTAATGCTGCCTTTTATTTTAGTCAGTTTTTATGGGGTAAGTTTCTTATATACTTGATATGGTTAATTGATGTACCGTTACTTCACAAAATATAATTAATAAGATCAAATATAGAAAACATTGCAATTTTTTGGATTGCAGGTTTGATCTTATGATCTTTCTTGTGTTTGACATGGTTACTAATTGAGGAATCTTTTCTTTCAAAGAAGATCCTTGATCTTGTTCTTATTCTGATCATTCATTCCCGTGCTGAACTTCATGGCTGTTCTTTCAAAACCTGTCATATATTTATACTTAACCGTGTTGCTAATTCTTCACATGTACCTGTGAGGTATTGATCTATACCCCTTGAATTCCATATTTTGATTCTTGGGGCATTTGTAACCTACTAATAAACACCTTGATTTTAATCTGCAAGGAAATTAGCAAGCATGGCATTCTACCTATACGGTATGGTGATGCATAGAGCCATAAATTTGACTCCTAAGACCTCTACAACTTCTAAGGGTGCAAAATTGCAACAAGATTTGTAAAAGATTCCTATGCGCTACTATAAAATGTATTTATTAAGCTTCTGGTTTATGCGTCAAATTGATTGCCTTCATATTGTATTATTTATCCTTTGCATATTTAGGGTCACCTTTATATTGTAAATAGTTTCCACTTTTTTGGTGTACCATCTTATCTTATTAAAAAAATAGATTAGAACCAATGTTCATGCTATAAGATATATTTGACCTATATTAAATTGCTCTGCTTCCTATTTTGTTTTGCAGCCTGACCATCAACAAATCATAGTTGATGCCGGAGCTCTACCCCGTCTCGTGGATCTTCTGAAGAGGCACAGGGATGGTCAAAACTCTCGAGCAGTTAATGGTGTTATAAGGAGGGCGGCTGATGCAATCACTAACCTTGCTCATGAGAATAGCAGCATTAAAACTCGTGTTAGGTTCGTTTACTTGGATTCTTTGGAGATGCATACTTAGCATCATGCACTCTTTGTAACATTTCAGCCGTACATGCAGGATTGAAGGTGGTATACCTCCCCTTGTTGAATTGCTTGACTTTGTTGATACAAAGGTGCAGAGAGCAGCTGCAGGGGCCCTGCGAACTCTTGCCTTTAAGAATGATGAAAACAAAAACCAGGTTGATGAATTTCTCTGGTTCAAATGATTTATTTTGAGATTTAATTACAGTTACCTTTTTTTTCACTTGTTTCAGATACTGTTTTTATGATATGTGGTATACTGAATTAAATATTTTGCAGATTGTAGAATGCAATGCTCTACCTACTCTTATTCTTATGCTTCGATCTGAGGATGCTGCCATACACTATGAAGCGGTTGGCTCTAGTTGAAACTTTTGGATATTTGACTGTTGTATCTTACCTACACTTGGATACATTTTCTACACATCCATGTTTCACCTTCTTTGTATCTTTAAATGAAAAATAAAGGTGTCTGTCAGGTTGGTGTGATTGGGAATTTGGTCCATTCATCCCCAAATATTAAGAAAGAAGTTCTTGTTTCTGGAGCTTTACAACCTGTCATTGGATTACTTAGGTACAAAGTTTCATATGATGGCTCTTTCTCATTTTTGTTTTCAGAGTTTTGGTTGTCCTAGTTTGCTGCGCGTTGTCAATGAATTTCTTGCAGCAGAATTTGAATTTGCGTTGAGTCATTGCCGTGTGCCTTTCCTTTTTTTTTTGGTTCATATTTTTGATCTTTTTGAGTTTATTACAGTTCCTGCTGTTCAGAGAGTCAAAGGGAAGCCGCTCTGCTACTTGGGCAATTTGCTGCCACAGATTCAGATTGCAAGGTTAATAGAGATATTTTTTTCTTGAAAAAAGAAGTTAAATCAACTAGTATCCTCGAAGTATGATAATTCACCACCATCCTTTTGATTATGTGTTAAGTCCCTTTTATGGAGTATAGAATAATGTCTGTGCAGGTGCACATTGTCCAAAGAGGTGCTGTTCAGCCATTGATTGAGATGCTTCAGTCTCCAGATGCGCAGCTAAGGGAAATGGCAGCTTTTGCATTGGGGAGGTTGGCACAGGTTACAATTCATATAAATTCTTGTGCTATTATTCTGATTCAGATATATGTTGCTCGCATTAAAACATTGCTGTAGCTGAATTAATTGAGGGTTTGCTTTTCTGCCATTGACTATTATACATATGAGATGAATATTAGTGTTGAAGTATGTTACGCCATATTTCTCCTTAAAGAAAAATCTACCTTTATTTTTGGTTGTTTGGAGCAATGTTCCGTCAGCCACCAGCATGTTACTTTTCAAATTTCAAGTGTTATGTTTGTGCAAATCCACTCGTTCAAACTGTACTTTTATTTTTTCTTATTAAGGGGTGTAGCATGTGCTCATGGTATGGTGGGGGTGCCCCTACTTTTCAAATTTCAAATGTTATGTTTGTACAAATCCACTCGGTCAAACTGTACTTTTATTTTTCATTATTAAGGGTGTAGCATGTGCTCATGGTATGGTGGGGGTGCCCCTGCAAAGGTGTCTCTTTATTTTTCCATGATGAGAAACTTTTTAGAAAGCTTTTGAGTCTCTCTCTCTCTCAATGGGCAGTAGATTATGTTAGACCTATGTGTTGGCTGTATTGCTGAATTTTTTCATTGTTAGGACACACACAACCAAGCTGGTATTGCTCATAGTGGTGGAGTAATTCCACTACTGAAGCTTCTTGATTCAAAAAATGGATCCCTGCAGCATAATGCTGCATTTGCTCTTTATGGTCTTGCAGATAATGAGGTATGTTTCATCTTGTTTGTTGACTCTAAGGTGTCATTTTTGATTTTATTTTGATAGTGTTTTTATCTGCATTCCAACTTACTCTAAGTTCATTTTGTAGGATAATGTTGCAGATCTTATTAGGATTGGAGGTGTTCAGAAACTTCAGGATGGAGAGTTCATTGTCCAAGTATAATACTTGTCCATTCTTATTCTTACAGTTGTGTTTATTTATATAACAGTTTTAGGTCATTCTTGAAATGTGTATTTTGATCTAAAATCTTTGCACAAGTAAATGATGGTGAATTCCTCCTGATAGAATTTTATGGTTTACAGCCAACTAGAGATTGTGTAGCCAAGACATTGAAAAGACTAGAGGAGAAGATTCATGGAAGAGTGAGTTTATTTCATACTCCTCCTTGTTTCTCTTTTCTAATTTTGTTCTTAACTTTTAGTGGGTAAGCCTTAGAAACCTGCAAGTATCCTATAGCTTTTAGCGGATGATGATTGAACGGACATACGGAATTATAAGAAAAATGCAATAANCATACTCCTCCTTGTTTCTCTTTTCTAATTTTGTTCTTAACTTTTAGTGGGTAAGCTTTAGAAACCTGCAAGTATCCTATAGCTTTTAGCGGATGATGATTGAACGGACATACGGAATTATTAGAAAAATGCAATAATAAAGTAGCCTTGGAATTTCTCGAGGGAATCCCAGTTCCTGTATTGATATTTGTTAAAAACCTCATTAAACAATAGTTTTCTTTCATGTACCTGCTCCTATATGTACATGTATGTATGAATGCATGCACGTATTCATATGGGTGCTACGGTAAGTACAACAAAAACAAGAGGAAGGCACGGAATTGGACTTGGTGCTTTAAACATTTAAAGAAGAAAGGGGTTTTTAAATGAATTAAGTTGCAGGACATATGTCTATATATGTTTAAACAAACACGACTTTCTTATTTGTTTTACTTCTGAGTTCTAAAGTAATGGACTGACTGTTGGATCTACTAAATACTTATTTGGGATTTGTACATTCACAATTTGTGATTGCTTTAAGGTGGTTTGGATATATTTACAGAAGACCTAATATTGTAGCAGTGACGAATAGTGATCTGATACCTATCAATGGTAATGGAGAGAGTGGTTGACTCGAATCAACTTTGAATGGGATAGTAAAAAAGCATACGAGAGTTTGTGATTTAATATGAAGTATGCGCTTTGATAGAATGCAATGGAGGAACATGATTGATGATTCATGTTGCAAACCCAATTTGGTTGGGAAAGAGCTTTGTTGGGTTGTAATTTTACCAATGGCGGACTTCATCACTTTAGTGGTAATACCCCATTTTCTCTTTTTGGTGTGCTTGCTTAAACTGAAACAGTCAACTCTATTTATTGAATGTTTTAAAACATGCTTTTGTGCATTGGAAAAATTTTAGCTTCACAAAGAAGGAAACTGGAATAGGACTATGTAATAATCTCTTTCATTGAAAGGCACATTGTTATGTTTATTTTGGAGGGCCCAAGTGACAGAAAAAAGGTCTGTTAGTATGTAACTTTGGACCTTGGAGGAGACACTTATGGTGAGTATAGAGTATAAGACACAGATTGGTGTTTCAGTTGTTCACTCCTTCAATGTTTCTATTGGCAGGTTTTGAGCCATTTATTGTACTTGATGCGAGTTGCAGAGAAGGTTGTTCAAAGACGAGTTGCTTTGGCTCTTGCGCATCTTTGTTTGCTCGATGATCAGAAAACAGTTTTTATCGATAGCAATGGTAATGTATTTAAGATACCATTTACTTCAGCATTGTTTTTCTATGCAAGTGTTCTTGCAAGTGGCTTCATTCTTATGCAGTCCTGAAATTTTAACATCTGCTGCCGCATGTACATTATGTTTGTGCAGGACTAGAGTTGCTTTTGGAGCTTCTGGAGTCAACAAACTTGAAGCACCAACGAGATGGTTCAGTAGCTTTGTACAAGTTAGCTAACAAAGCGAGCTCGCTTTCCCCTGTTGACGCAGCTCCTCCATCCCCAGTTCCTCAAGTATGTTTGTGGTTGGCAACCATGTTCTTGTAGCACGGTTGAGACAATATTCTTTGTTGTTACTTTAACAATTAATGTTATCCTTTGCATATGTGTTGTTCTGATTGTTGGAAAGGATCAACCTATTCTGAATGTGCCTTCATTTTGTTGGTGTGTAATTCAAGACTTTTTGTCAATATATTTTTGTGAAGTTTGACTTTCATCTTCTTGATCTGTTTTCATATTGATAGTGGGAAAGAAGTTTAAATGGGGACTAGGGTGTTTAAAATTGATAACTTCTNTCTTTTTGAGTTTATTACAGTTCCTGCTGTTCAGAGAGTCAAAGGGAAGCCGCTCTGCTACTTGGGCAATTTGCTGCCACAGATTCAGATTGCAAGGTTAATAGAGATATTTTTTTCTTGAAAAAAGAAGTTAAATCGACTAGTATCCTCGAAGTATGATAATTCACCACCATCCTTTTGATTATGTGTTAAGTCCCTTTTATGGAGTATAGAATAATGTCTGTGCAGGTGCACATTGTCCAAAGAGGTGCTGTTCAGCCATTGATTGAGATGCTTCAGTCTCCAGATGCGCAGCTAAGGGAAATGGCAGCTTTTGCATTGGGGAGGTTGGCACAGGTTACAATTCATATAAATTCTTGTGCTATTATTCTGATTCAGATATATGTTGCTCGCATTAAAACATTGCTGTAGCTGAATTAATTGAGGGTTTGCTTTTCTGCCATTGACTATTATACATATGAGATGAATATTAGTGTTGAAGTATGTTACACCATATTTCTCCTTAAAGAAAAATCTACCTTTATTTTTGGTTGTTTGGAGCAATGTTCCGTCAGCCACCAGCATGTTACTTTTCAAATTTCAAGTGTTATGTTTGTGCAAATCCACTCGTTCAAACTGTACTTTTATTTTTTCTTATTAAGGGGTGTAGCATGTGCTCATGGTATGGTGGGGGTGGCCCTACTTTTCAAATNACTTTTATTTTTTCTTATTAAGGGGTGTAGCATGTGCTCATGGTATGGTGGGGGTGCCCCTGCAAAGGTGTCTCTTTATTTTTCCATGATGAGAAACTTTTTAGAAAGCTTTTGAGTCTCTCTCTCTCTCAATGGGCAGTAGATTATGTTAGACCTATGTGTTGGCTGTATTGCTGAATTTTTTCATTGTTAGGACACACACAACCAAGCTGGTATTGCTCATAGTGGTGGAGTAATTCCACTACTGAAGCTTCTTGATTCAAAAAATGGATCCCTGCAGCATAATGCTGCATTTGCTCTTTATGGTCTTGCAGATAATGAGGTATGTTTCATCTTGTTTGTTGACTCTAAGGTGTCATTTTTGATTTTATTTTGATAGTGTTTTTATCTGCATTCCAACTTACTCTAAGTTCATTTTGTAGGATAATGTTGCAGATCTTATTAGGATTGGAGGTGTTCAGAAACTTCAGGATGGAGAGTTCATTGTCCAAGTATAATACTTGTCCATTCTTATTCTTACAGTTGTGTTTATTTATATAACAGTTTTAGGTCATTCTTGAAATGTGTATTTTGATCTAAAATCTTTGCACAAGTAAATGATGGTGAATTCCTCCTGATAGAATTTTATGGTTTACAGCCAACTAGAGATTGTGTAGCCAAGACATTGAAAAGACTAGAGGAGAAGATTCATGGAAGAGTGAGTTTATTTCATACTCCTCCTTGTTTCTCTTTTCTAATTTTGTTCTTAACTTTTAGTGGGTAAGCCTTAGAAACCTGCAAGTATCCTATAGCTTTTAGCGGATGATGATTGAACGGACATACGGAATTATTAGAAAAATGCAATAATAAAGTAGCCTTGGAATTTCTCGAGGGAATCCCAGTTCCTGTATTGATATTTGTTAAAAACCTCATTAAACAATAGTTTTCTTTCATGTACCTGCTCCTATATGTACATGTATGTATGAATGCATGCACGTATTCATATGGGTGCTACGGTAAGTACAACAAAAACAAGAGGAAGGCACGGAATTGGACTTGGTGCTTTAAACATTTAAAGAAGAAAGGGGTTTTTAAATGAATTAAGTTGCAGGACATATGTCTATATATGTTTAAACAAACACGACTTTCTTATTTGTTTTACTTCTGAGTTCTAAAGTAATGGACTGACTGTTGGATCTACTAAATACTTATTTGGGATTTGTACATTCACAATTTGTGATTGCTTTAAGGTGGTTTGGATATATTTACAGAAGACCTAATATTGTAGCAGTGAGGAATAGTGATCTGATACCTATCAATGGTAATGGAGAGAGTGGTTGACTCGAATCAACTTTGAATGGGATAGTAAAAAAGCATACGAGAGTTTGTGATTTAATATGAAGTATGCGCTTTGATAGAATGCAATGGAGGAACATGATTGATGATTCATGTTGCAAACCCAATTTGGTTGGGAAAGAGCTTTGTTGGGTTGTAATTTTACCAATGGCGGACTTCATCACTTTAGTGGTAATACCCCATTTTCTCTTTTTGGTGTGCTTGCTTAAACTGAAACAGTCAACTCTATTTATTGAATGTTTTAAAACATGCTTTTGTGCATTGGAAAAATTTTAGCTTCACAAAGAAGGAAACTGGAATAGGACTATGTAATAATCTCTTTCATTGAAAGGCACATTGTTATGTTTATTTTGGAGGGCCCAAGTGACAGAAAAAAGGTCTGTTAGTATGTAACTTTGGACCTTGGAGGAGACACTTATGGTGAGTATAGAGTATAAGACACAGATTGGTGTTTCAGTTGTTCACTCCTTCAATGTTTCTATTGGCAGGTTTTGAGCCATTTATTGTACTTGATGCGAGTTGCAGAGAAGGTTGTTCAAAGACGAGTTGCTTTGGCTCTTGCGCATCTTTGTTTGCTCGATGATCAGAAAACAGTTTTTATCGATAGCAATGGTAATGTATTTAAGATACCATTTACTTCAGCATTGTTTTTCTATGCAAGTGTTCTTGCAAGTGGCTTCATTCTTATGCAGTCCTGAAATTTTAACATCTGCTGCCGCATGTACATTATGTTTGTGCAGGACTAGAGTTGCTTTTGGAGCTTCTGGAGTCAACAAACTTGAAGCACCAACGAGATGGTTCAGTAGCTTTGTACAAGTTAGCTAACAAAGCGAGCTCGCTTTCCCCTGTTGACGCAGCTCCTCCATCCCCAGTTCCTCAAGTATGTTTGTGGTTGGCAACCATGTTCTTGTAGCACGGTTGAGACAATATTCTTTGTTGTTACTTTAACAATTAATGTTATCCTTTGCATATGTGTTGTTCTGATTGTTGGAAAGGATCAACCTATTCTGAATGTGCCTTCATTTTGTTGGTGTGTAATTCTAGACTTTTTGTCAATATATTTTTGTGAAGTTTGACTTTCATCTTCTTGATCTGTTTTCATATTGATAGTGGGAAAGAAGTTTAAATGGGGACTAGGGTGTTTAAAATTGATAACTTCTGATTTTTCTATAACAAAGACACAGTATATTGCATTAAGCTAGAGTTTTGATTGTACGTCTTAGGTAAAATTTTGCTAAAGGTAGTTCAATAAGCTGGCTCAAAATTTTTGTCCCCTCTTAGAACGAACAATTCTAAGAATAATTGATGAGGTGAAGTCCTTTCTGAGTTAATGGAATCATCTTCATGTTGAATTAAGATTACTGGTTCCCAGATGATTTCAGTCAACATATTTAGTCTGCTCACTGCAGACTTCGTAATTTTTTTTGTTAATATGGAGTTAGCAAGTTCAATGAAACTGTTGTATAGTTTATTATATGGTCTGTAATGATCATGCTGTTATTGTTGCAGGTGTATTTGGGTGAGCAGTTTGTAAACAATGCCACATTATCTGATGTTACATTTTTAATTGAAGGTTTAAAACTGTTCACCTACATGAATTTTTAACTTTGCTTTTCATGTATGAATTTTATGTGTTTTTATACGGTGTAACATAGTTCTCTTATATTATTCTTGTTTTTACATCAGGTAAACGTTTCTATGCTCACAGAATCTGTCTGCTTGCTTCTTCTGATGCATTTCGGGCTATGTTTGATGGTGGTTACAGGGTGAGTATGGCTTTAATAAAAGCTTCACTTAAAATCTATTAGCCTTCTAAGACTGTTTTGTTGTTCCTACCCCAATTCATGTGCAGACAGGCACACATATGAATGTGTATCTTACCAATTTCACTTTGTTCTGTGAAATATACTTAGAAAATGACCTGAAATTGGTCATTGTTGTGTTTGAAGTGAGAGCTGTGAGCCCCATTCTTTATCAGATTCTTCACAGGAACTCGTTTTCACTGCTAATCAGGCATTTTCACTTTCCTTCGATGTTATTATATTGGTGCCGGCCGATCGGCATGCTCACTTGTTGTACATTAGCACCATGTTTGCACAAAACCATTCCTGTGCATACAAGCTATACTCAATATAGTAGATAAATATATTAGAAATTTTGTGATGTCATTGGGCCTACTATTATTACTAAGTGCATTGCATTTCAGGAGAAGGATGCCAAAGATATCGAGATTCCAAATATCAAATGGGATGTTTTTGAGTTGATGATGAGGTGCAGATTTATTTTATCCAGTCTTTCATTTGAAAGGAAAAAGAAAATCATGACCCAGAAAACAGGGAAAAAAACCTCTTTTGTGACTGTTGAAGTGATGCCCTCATTCTTTTATTCTTTTTCTGCAGATACATATACACAGGATCTGTAGCTGTCAATTTGGATATTGCACAAGATCTTCTGAGAGCTGCTGATCAGTATCTTCTGGAGGGACTTAAGAGGCTTTGTGAGTATACCATTGCAAAGGTGAGTTTTGAAATCAGTTGGATGGTGAATTATGCCATGTATGAGTATGACGTGCTAATCTGATGGTTGCTTATGATGTCTGCAGGATATTTCAGTGGAAACTGTTTCACTTGTGTATGAGTTATCAGAGGCCTTTAATGCTATGTCGTTGAAGCATGCATGCATTCTGTTTATATTGGAGAATTTTGACAATTTAAGTCCTATGCCATGGTATGTTTTGGTTGTCTTTTTTTGTCGTTCTTCTGTGTGTTTTCTTTTAGTTAGCAAATTTGGTCCTAGCCGATTTTCCAATTTGTATGTTTTCCTTTATCAGTCCTTATGAGGAATGGGTGTACGAGATGCAGGTACTCCCATTTGATCCAACGTATTCTACCAGAGATGCGCAATTATTTTGTGCGCACGCTTACAAGGGCTGCGCAACCTGATATGCTGTGGTAGATGGTTCAGCCTCGGTTTTGATCATTGATTAATTAGTTTAACACAGGAGCGAATGTACAGTGAGTGGTTCCTTTCTTTGTAACCATTAAAACGGCTAGGAACTAATTTTTTAGGAGGCACGATCTGGAAGCATCTGTAATTCCTCATTCAATGCAAATTCCTGATTTTGATAACACTTGTTTCATCTTCAAACAGTTATACTTCAGGTGCTTCATATTGGTTATTAGGAGTTGCCAGACTTGAGCCTTGAACTTGATCCACAGCCCCCAAGTCGATGATACTAATCGTTATTAGAACAATATTGACTTGCGAATGTTCTCATGTTACCACCGAGAGTTGTAGTTCAATTGTCAAAGGTTCAGTAATGCTACTTTCGGTCTCCCCCGCTCTTTCTGCAAAGCAAAAAAAGAAGGGTAAATTTCATTTGGCCCCTGAAAGATATAAAATTTTAGTTTGCTCTTGATTAATTTTTTTATATTGTCCCTTCAAAGAAATATAAATATTATAATGTGGANTACCACCGAGAGTTGTAGTTCAATTGTCAAAGGTTCAGTAATGCTACTTTCGGTCTACCCCGCTCTTTCTGCAAAGCAAAAAAAGAAGGGTAAATTTCATTTAGCCCTTGAAAGATATAAAATTTTAGTTTGCTCTTGATTAATTTTTTTATATTGTCCCTTTAAAGAAATATAAATATTATAATGTGAAACACCGTTTTATTTTTTGTTTGGTCGTGTGTTTGTTTTATGATTTGTGATTTCTTTGGCACAAAACAGATGGATGATAAAACAGAAAATAAGACAATAAATTATATTGTAATATTTTTATTTTTTGGGGGGTAATGGGAAAAAATTAATCATTTGAGGGTAAATTGAAAATTTTTGTATTTTTTAAGGGCTAAAATGAGATTTTCCCAAAATAANCACAGGAGCGAATGTACAGTGAGTGGTTCCTTTCTTTGTAACCATTAAAACGGCTAGGAACTAATTTTTTAGGAGGCACGATCTGGAAGCATCCGTAATTCCTCATTCAATGCAAATTCCTGATTTTGATAACACTTGTTTCATCTTCAAACAGTTATACTTCAGGTGCTTCATATTGGTTATTAGGAGTTGCCAGACTTGAGCCTTGAACTTGATCCACAGCCCCCAAGTCGATGATACTAATCGTTATTAGAACAATATTGACTTGCGAATGTTCTCATGTTACCACCGAGAGTTGTAGTTCAATTGTCAAAGGTTCAGTAATGCTACTTTCGGTCTACCCCGCTCTTTCTGCAAAGCAAAAAAAGAAGGGTAAATTTCATTTAGCCCTTGAAAGATATAAAATTTTAGTTTGCTCTTGATTAATTTTTTTATATTGTCCCTTTAAAGAAATATAAATATTATAATGTGAAACACCGTTTTATTTTTTGTTTGGTCGTGTGTTTGTTTTATGATTTGTGATTTCTTTGGCACAAAACAGATGGATGATAAAACAGAAAATAAGACAATAAATTATATTGTAATATTTTTATTTTTTTGGGGGTAATGGGAAAAAATTAATCATTTGAGGGTAAATTGAAAATTTTTGTATTTTTTAAGGGTTAAAATGAGATTTTCCCAAAAAGAAAAAGAAAAGAAATGATGTCGTCGTGAGAACAAATACCCTTCTTTTATCATTGATAGCATTTCCAATGACGCGGACTGATGGTTGATCTCCTACTTCCATTATCTTTTCTATGACGACAAGGACCTGGGATTGGTGGTAGAGTACTGGGCGAAATATGAATAATTTTCAAGTTCAAACATTTTCTTGCTAAAATGATAAGTGGGTTGAGTTTCACTTGTCTATATTTACTGCCACGGGAAAAGATTTGGAATAGCTTGTTAATGATCCAGTGGATGGTTAAAATCGAGCAAGTGTGATTATATTGTACACTTGTCACATTTTTACTGGTTTGGATACTCATTTGTCATTAATCATGATGATGACACCTTGTCAACAAAAAATCGTTTAGGAAAGGTATTNTTCTTGCTAAAATGATAAGTGGGTTGAGTTTCACTTGTCTATATTTACTGCCACGGGAAAAGATTTGGAATAGCTTGTTAATGATCCAGTGGATGGTTAAAATCGAGCAAGTGTGATTATATTGTACACTTGTCACATTTTTACTGGTTTGGATACTCATTAACTTTAATCAATCATGATGACACCTTGTCAACAAAAAATCGTTTAGGAAAGGTTATTTTTTTTTTGTAACAAGTGATATTAATTTTTTAAATTTGTTGTCAAAAGAAGATCAACTAAGATTTTGGTTTAACTTACTAAGAAAAAAGGAAGATCTCAAATCATGTATAAGTAATTATCATTGTCATTGGATTAAGATTTTTTAATTTTAGAGCGTAAAGGAACAACTAAAAATATTTTGTTAATAGGAAAAAAAACCTCAATATTTTGTTTGGTAATATTCTAATTTAGTACCCCAAAAAAAGTACTCAACAAAAAAGGAGAAAAATAAGACTTTATACTCTATCATATTTCTCTCTCTTCAAGAAAAAATAAGTAGTAGCGGATCTAAATCTGGTCCCCTGACCATCGGGGGACTGTTTAATCGGCAAAACTTCTTAATTGAGTTTAAATGTTCAAGATTTAGAGTTTTTATTAGAGTTTAATAGTTGATTATTTTATTAATTTAGTTAAACCCGTCCTCAAAATGAATAATAGGTACTATAANGGTAATATTCTAATTTAGTACCCCAAAAAAAGTACTCAACAAAAAAGGAGAAAAATTATCGTATTTCTCTCTCTTCAAGAAAAAATTAGTAGTAGCGGATCTAAATCTGATCTCCTGACCATCGGGGGACTGTTTAATCGGCAAAACTTCTTACTTGAGTTTAAATGTTTAAGATTTAGAGTTTTTATTAGAGTTTAATAGTTAATTATTTTATTAATTTAGTTAAACCCGTCCTCAAAATGAATAATAGGTACTATAAAAAAATCTCATAATCCTGCTAATTAGGGCCTATCAAAATAGTCTGGCTGCTTTTTATTGCCCCATCATTTTTTGCACCAAAAAAAAAAAAAAAAAATCCCGTCGTCCTGCATAAATCCACGAACTTCATACGAGACCCATGCGTTGACTGTTTAACAGGACACGTGGCAAGATCAGGTGGTCCTACCTCTTTATCACCTCAGGATCCTTCGATCTTCATCCCTCGTGCATTTGAAAGACGCGGGCGTGATCGAGAGACAGTAAGCGAATGGTTGCTCAGCTTTCTGGTCTTTGGCTCAGCAGCCCCTCATTAAGTGGACATTCTCTCCGGTGCCGGAGCAGACCAACGCCGACGTCTACTGCTGCCGCGACTCCGCTTCCATCTCCGTCTACTATTCAGGCAAGACATTAGTTGCACTCCGCCACTTTTCTGTTCGAATAGCTTCTATCCACTCATTCAATCTCCGTTTGGGTCTCAAAAAAAAATTGAGGAGATAAACGAACAGGAAAAAAAAAATTTAGTCGTTTCTCGGAAGCTTTACTTCTTTTAGCGACGAGAATCGACTAAAAGAAGCATTACTTATCCATTCATGCTGTCAAATCCTACCTCCGTTACGATGTTCTCCCCCAATCTCTCTATTACTTGGTGACTTTTTGCCGTTCTTAATGTTTTCATCCGTTTGAATTTAGATTCATGCTGATAAGTTTGGGAGTTAGGTGAAATTCAGATAATTTTGACACCGAAGACTCCTACTGTTTGCCTTACTGCCAAAAGCCCTGGCCCTAAGCTTGAAACATTCTGTGCCGGGAAAGGGTTGGGGTTTGAAGAAAAATTATATTGTAGGAGAGGAGGAAAATTTTGTGAGGAAACTAATCTGATGACTCACTTCTGACAGTTATACAATTTCAGAAGATGATCCAGAATTGGGCCAATCACGTTTATTAGAAGTGGACAATAGAGTGGTTGTACCTGCGTCTGTATATTTTTGCATAATTATTATGGTTTTGTATAGTCATGGTTATTTATTTTGATAAGCTGACATTGCACCCAAATTATTGAATACGTAGAAATTGACTCTTAGTTTGAGGCCTCTTTTTCCTTGCAGCTAAAATTGCTACTCTCTTTCTCTCACATTCGGTTATGGTTCCAATGAGGGGATATCATTTTGCAGATTGTAGGTGAGAAATCTCCAGGTTGGTATGGAAATGGGAGTTCAATTACCAGGGACACATTTGAGGGTTGCCAAGTTGAATATGATTGGAATGAAATAGAAGATGATCTTTATCATTGGACAAAGACATTACGTCCTGTGCAGGTATTAATAAGGTGTGGAATTGTATGGCTGATCTTATGATAGTAGTTTAATAGAGAGTTTATGTTTTGAATTTGATCATTCTTGCTCATTGATATGTATTGGTGCTGGCAATTCAACAGTGGTATCCTGGTCATATTGCAAAAACTGAAAAAGAACTTAAGCAACAGCTGAAATTGATGGATGTGGTGATAGAGGTTCGAGATGCGAGGATCCCGATGTCCACAAGTCATCCACAGGTCAATTTACTTTACCTTGTTGGTTCCTTCTACAATTTCTCCAACACAATAGGAGGTGAACAACCCAGGGAGGGGTGTAGAAAAGCAAAAAGCTCGAAATGAAATAAAGAGTCATACTAGCTTGTTCACGGATCCTTGCTGTGTACATAACCAGTAGTTGCATGTCTGACTGCCGCTATCTGTTACAGTCAGGAGAGAGCTATTAGATAACTAGATGACCTGCTGTCCTATCTGGCCAAGGTGATGCCTAGGCTGGCAGTGCGTTGATTAAACGGGGCCACTGATTTCTCATGTGCTTAATGCATTGCTATAAGTTTCAGTCCGTGTGTGGATTCTACTATTCTGATGTGTTCCCTTCTTCACCGTTAGTTGCTATAAGATCCAGAAACTTAGGAAACTCAATTTTTCAGGTTCTTCTGCCTCCTCCTTTTTGTTTCTTTTTAGGGAATGAGCAGAAAAGGCAGAATCACTTTGTACAAATTTTCAGTGTTTGAGGCCACCAAAAACTGGTCTTTTGGTGCGATGTTTACTGAGACTGCAATGACAACTGATGTCAACAATGCACCATTGTGTATACAATGTTAGGTGCACATCCTAAAATGGATCCCAGACATCTTTGGGAATGTGGCATTCAGGGCTCCTATTTCTTATCTTTACTCTTTTATTTAACCTTTTTTTATGGAACTTGTATGTGCAGATGGATTCATGGATTGGTAATAGGAAAAGAATTTTAGTTTTAAATAGAGAAGACATGATATCCACCACAGACCGGAATGCTTGGGCAACTTATTATGCTAGGCAGGGAACAAAGGTTGTCTTCTCCAATGGAAAGCTTGGGATGGTATCTACTGAATACTTCTTCTAGTAGTCTTGAGCACCACAAGGTACCTCCACATAAGAAGGGGATAGGTTATAGCATGAAATAATCACTCTGCCCAAATGCAGGGGTCCATGAAGCTGGGCAGGTTAGCGAAGACATTAGCAGCTGGTGTGAATGTAAAACGCAGAGCCAAAGGATTACTTCCTCGTCCAGTAAGTTATCATTGACCCTTAATTTAATGTTGCAACTTTCGTCAAGGCAGACTCATTGCTAGATATGTTTTGCTTGCTGCCATGGCTTTTCATTGGTAGACATCCTATGAGCTGCTTTGAATTGCCATGAAATCAAATCAACAGTTATGGCAGAAAGATTGCCTTTTTCCGAATTGTTTACCATTGGTATTTTAATTTTTTACTTGTATGCACATGGCAATGACAGACTTCTCTAAAGAAGACATGTAGCATATGTCAAAGGTGACTAAAAAGCCTTTGGGTTCATCTCTTATATAGTTATATGATACAAATAAGTCGGAGAAAAGTGTTTTTTTTTTGGGCGGGGGTTGGGGAAACCAGCTTTAGGAATTCGTTCTCTAGGCCTGGAAATTTTGTGGAAAACAAGGTGTTTCTTCATATTTGAAACAAATGCATGTTGGTTGAAGTCATAAAACAGAGTCAACCATGGGTTTATTTTTCTTCTTCTCATTTCTCCTATAAAACCCTAGTTTGAGTTGCAAGTAAGAGTTTTTCCTGTATTANTGTTTACTGAGACTGCAATGACAACTGATGTCAACAATGCACCATTGTGTATACAATGTTAGGTGCACATCCTAAAATGGATCCCAGACATCTTTGGGAATGTGGCATTCAGGGCTCCTATTTCTTATCTTTACTCTTTTATTTAACCTTTTTTTATGGAACTTGTATGTGCAGATGGATTCATGGATTGGTAATAGGAAAAGAATTTTAGTTTTAAATAGAGAAGACATGATATCCACCACAGACCGGAATGCTTGGGCAACTTATTATGCTAGGCAGGGAACAAAGGTTGTCTTCTCCAATGGAAAGCTTGGGATGGTATCTACTGAATACTTCTTCTAGTAGTCTTGAGCACCACAAGGTACCTCCACATAAGAAGGGGATAGGTTATAGCATGAAATAATCACTCTGCCCAAATGCAGGGGTCCATGAAGCTGGGCAGGTTAGCGAAGACATTAGCAGCTGGTGTGAATGTAAAACGCAGAGCCAAAGGATTACTTCCTCGTCCAGTAAGTTATCATTGACCCTTAATTTAATGTTGCAACTTTCGTCAAGGCAGACTCATTGCTAGATATGTTTTGCTTGCTGCCATGGCTTTTCATTGGTAGACATCCTATGAGCTGCTTTGAATTGCCATGAAATCAAATCAACAGTTATGGCAGAAAGATTGCCTTTTTCCGAATTGTTTACCATTGGTATTTTAATTTTTTACTTGTATGCACATGGCAATGACAGACTTCTCTAAAGAAGACATGTAGCATATGTCAAAGGTGACTAAAAAGCCTTTGGGTTCATCTCTTATATAGTTATATGATACAAATAAGTCGGAGAAAAGTGTTTTTTTTTTGGGCGGGGGTTGGGGAAACCAGCTTTAGGAATTCGTTCTCTAGGCCTGGAAATTTTGTGGAAAACAAGGTGTTTCTTCATATTTGAAACAAATGCATGTTGGTTGAAGTCATAAAACAGAGTCAACCATGGGTTTATTTTTCTTCTTCTCATTTCTCCTATAAAACCCTAGTTTGAGTTGCAAGTAAGAGTTTTTCCTGTATTATAGGTTCGAGCTGGAATAGTTGGGTACCCAAACGTTGGTAAATCATCTTTGATAAATCGTTTGTTGAAGCGCCGGATGTGTCCAGCAGCTCCAAGGCCTGGTGTTACAAGAGTACTGAAGTATGTATATTGTTTCTTAGATAAGGAATGACATAAAATGTGGGCTCAATATTCAAATTTTAGAATTCAATCCAAGACTGATGAGGATTTAATATATTGAAATGCATTTTGTTTTTGTTTTTTATATCTTTCTTGCTGTTGGAAAAGATGGGTTCGTTTCGGGACAGATCTAGAGTTGTTAGACTCCCCTGGTATAATCCCAATGAGAATCAGTGATCAATCAGCAGCGATAAAGCTTGCTATATGCGATGACATTGGGGAGAGATCCTATGATGTTGTTGATGTGGCAGCCATTCTTGTACAGATGCTTTCAAGGCTTCCAGCAGTAGGTGTGTTTCCTTTCTACTCTTAATAGACATTTGTCATTTGCACGTAACAAAGCATTGCCTAACCAGTAACAATTGATGTATATTGGGAATATGTACTGGCAATGGCCAGTCATCTTATGTACCAAGCCAAGATATCACTGTGAATTTCATTTAAAATTTGAAGTGTTCGGATCTTACTTGCAGTGTTGGTTCTGATCTTGGACTGAATTAATAAGATGCAGAAGATGGAGCGAGTTTTGAGGACTGTGACGCAATTTAGCCCTCTAGCTCTAAATCGTTGTTTCTATTTTTATACATTAAGACAATCCCAGCAATTAGATTTGCTGTCCAAAGAAAAGCATGATAATTTAGACACTTTTGCTTGATGCTCATACTGTTGCAGTTTTCTCAATGTTATCTCTTCCTATTATTAACTCTTTTGGTTTTGGTAGGAAACAAAGCTCTTTATGACCGCTACAAGATTGTTACAGATGGTCGCTGTGGTAAAATGTAGGTTTAAATCTATATTGCGCAATGCCCATTGTTTTGACTGAATAAACTGATGACTAATACAGGACAGAAAATATTCTGGAAGCAAGCTTAGCACATGTGATTAAAATTATACTTGTGGATTTCAGGAATTTTGTGGATCGGAAGTCAAATGGACATTTTCAGTCTTTTTTATCCTGATTTAGAACTTTTAATATGTGAAATGCAGATATGTTCAGAAGCTTGCGCTTCAACTCTTCAGTGGGAACATTAATCAAGCAGCATTTCGTGTCTTGTCGGACTTCCGGAAAGGTAAATTTGGTTGGATTGCTCTTGAGAGACCCCCCCAGATAGTGCCGTAGGTTGTTTGCTTTGAAAGGCCAGACTGTCCTCTGCTTGTATTGGCATTCTTCAAATAGCTTTAAGAATGCTAGAGGTCTTCAGTATCTGAAGCTGGAAACTTGGGTCGAGCATTCATCTTCCTAGGGAAGAGGCGGTGCTAAAGAGTTCCAGATGAGTGTGAGGAGGCAGCAAAACTGGGTCCATCTAAAAAGGCCTGATCTTGAGAAAGTCACCAGACAAGGCTACCGCTATGTTTGGTATTAGTCTGTGTGCTTTTACTTTACGCAGGGACAGTGTTTGGAATCATGTAAATAAGGCCAATATCACCTATGCACCATGTAAAGATTTCAGAATTTATTTTGCAGAATTTCAGAGTTATGGAAGATAAAGAGAATTATGTTTTGACTTTGATGCCCGTGGTTTGGGAGTGATTGTGTATCGAATGTTTACATTGCAACCATGAGTTCAAAGGGTGTATTGTTGTTATAATTCCGTGTTACCAAAAAAGAAAGTTATGCATGAGCATGAGTCAAGTGGGATTGAGCACCCTTAGTACCCTGTTTTGATACGTGCCGGTATGTTTACCCATCTAACTGCAACGATGGGAAGCACAGGAACATTGTTAACCGTTTCTGGAGTGTCATGCAGCAGGATGAAACCCACCATTGCCCTCATTCACCAGTTCTCACTGGTATTATCAGACCATGAGATTGATAATGTTAACTAGAACAAACCTTATCCTCGAACAATAAATCCCAGTTGGACAAGAATTCTGAGAAACAAGACCAAGAATAAACAGTTTCAATTCATCAATCAATTCCAATGTTTTCTGGCAAACTTTAATATGCTCATTCTGATATACAGTAAGGACAAAGACCCAAACCAAACAAGCCAAAACCAACTGAAGGGATGGAAGCATTCAGGAGAAAAAAATCACCAGAGGTACTGGCAAAAACTGGAGCAACTTATTCACTACCTGGTAAGAAAAACGAAGGCAGAAAAGATGCGTATTTCATATGGTTTTGTTATCGGTTGCCCACTCCGAATAACTACAACATACCATTCAACACCCATTTTCTGACTTGATGTCTGTCACAGGCTGTGAATTTCTAATGATAATTCCTCATCTAGCAATTGTGGGAGCACAAGTTGAATCATCTTTGTTTGACCAGCTCCCTTTGACTCTACAGGCCCGGATTGGGCGTTCAATTTGGAGCCCTCCTGTAGCTTCCTGTTCCAATTGCAAACAGTACTTCCCGAACATTTGAACGCTCACATGAAGTCGGAAATCCAGACCAAAAAGGAACTTCATCTCCAATTTGTTCAACTCCGCGGTACTTACTCCTCCCACTTTGGCGTAGTATGCATTATTGAAGAATCTGAAACCATGTAGATCATGTTTGGGAGTTTGCACTAGAGGAATAACAAACAAAGGGTGACAAGAAATACAGATATGATACAATGGTACCTAATTTTCTCAAAAAAAGAAACTTCATTTTTTCTCATTAGGAAGGGAAAATAAATGTAATTTCATGCATGCGTAAAAAGCTCAGTAAGTAAGTAAATATGGTTGCTTTCCAAAAAAGAAAAACATATTCTGAAACATTTTGCACATAGTAAGTAGGATTTATAGAACATCCAGATTCCTAGTTTAGGTTTAGCACTTACGCATCATCTATAAATTTTGCAGCTAGCGTTACGCTTGTAATTAGAAGCCGATGAACATTGAGAGAAGTTAAATGAACACTTGAGCGCTGAATAAATCTGTCCACATAAATCTGTGCCACGACAAAGCAGGATGGGCTGCAGCAGGAATACTTAAAGATGCGATTGATGTATTGCCGAATGCCCAGAGAAGGTGCTCTTGAACCATGAAATACGGTGACCACATCTTTAATTTGTCTTGTCTCCAATAGCATTTCATTTCTCTGAACAGACCTCTCAAGAAGTGAAGAAAGAAGTGAAAGAACTTGGGGCTCCTTGCTTGACTCTTTAAGGCCCAAAGCACAGCATATATCAGAGCCTATATTGTCAGTTTCAAGTGCCAAGGTTCCCATTTCGGGCCAAACCTGGTACATAAAAATAAGCTATCAATTGTTGAATATAACACAGTATCAATCAGAGCCTATACTCTTAAGTTTCAAGTGCCCAAGTCCCCGCATCATGGCAAAACTGGTACAGAATAGCATCAATAAGCTTTCAATTGTTGAAGATTACACATCACTTACAGGAGTAAACCGGAAAAAAATGAATTTTAGGCGATACAAGAGGCTTCAGAAAACTAGATGAAATAAACATGACAAAACAGTTCATTAGTGCTGCAGTTTCATCAAATAGGAACACCGGCAATCTCGCATATATGTAAGTTTTTTGATCCCACATCTCAAGTTGGTCTCAGTTCAGTCACCAAATTCAATCACCTGAGCCTTAGGAAATGCAAACGAGAAAATCAAAGAGGCGTTACTTATTTAATCCGGTATCTGAAAAACTTTCAATGTTCATTGCTACTACCTACAGCCTTTCTATTCATTATCTCTTATAAGTTGTACCAGGTACTGGAAAACTTACAAATAAGCAATGTCTTTGTCTACAACCTGATAGTCCTAACAGACTTCCATGTTTTTCATGTTACCATCAGGTTTGCACCACCCATCATGTTAAGCAGAAAATAGTGAAAATTTGAAAACATACAAAGGAAAACATTAACTGATGAGATACTTCTAAAAGAGGCATCACTCTTCTCATAACATAAGCAAGAGTATGATAGCATGAATAATAACAACGCAGACCTATCTCTTGAAATCTCAAATTCTACTAAGGGGCTTCCATACCTAATCAGTCCCTTATATACCACAGACTTACCAAGTTACAGAAATGTGTGTGTGTGTGTGTAAGGGAGAGAGAGAGAGAGAGTCATTGTAAGTCGTTAGATCCAGCACTTGAAGCACGGGATCTAGTATCTAGAAATTCCATGAAAGACACAAAAAAACCAAGGAACACTCCAATAGCCACCAATAGGAAATTAGACATAAAATTACAATTTCGCCAATTTTTTCAAACTTACACAAATTGGAACTGATGAGCAAATCTTCCAAAAGAGAACCCTATTCCCACATTCAATGGAAGCCTTCAGATCCACAATAACTCAACAGGCTAAACCTCACAACCTCAAGAAAATGAAGCCTTTTGATATATAGTGGTTAATAAGCAAATCAGACGAACCCACATGAGCAAAACCCAGAATTCTTTTATTTTCTTGGTACTAAAAGCCAAAATTCAACAACTAGACGAAACCAGTAAATCCAAACTTAATCATAGAATTACCCAATAATGGGATTGTCACTGTATGAAAAATATAATACTGCAACCCATTGCATTACGAAAAAACCCCAAAAACTCAACAAAAAATCAAAGAAATATAATGACTTACAAGAGGGTTCTTGAGAGATCTGCTTGCTCAGTCTGTAATTGAGTCTTCTACATGAGCATCAGGCACGAAGATGGTATTACCTCACAGGAGACAGAGTATATGAATATGTATTATCTATCTCATGAAGCTACTTCCATCTCATCCTCCTCTTCTCTGTCGAGTATATTTGTATTGTAAGTACTTTTTGCCAGGAGAGAGAGAGAGAGAGAGAGAGAGAGAGAGCTTTATTTATTCAACAAGTAAGTAGCTCTCTCTCTCTCGCCGCTTCCCTCCAATTTAGTCGTCTTTTGGGTCACTTCACAGGTCACATGAAACTCTGTTCCCTCTTTGTATATATTTTTTCTTTATNCGCTTCCCTCCAATTTAGTCGTCTTTTGGGTCACTTCACAGGTCACATGAAACTCTATTCCCTCTTTGTATATATTTTTTCTTTATTTATTGGCTTTTATTGGCTTCCAATTTTAGATTTGTTTTCCAAGCTCATCTCATGACTTCACATGGAAACCCTCTCTCTCTCTCTCTCTCTCTCTCTCTCTCTCTCTCTCTCTCTCTCTAACCCCTTAATATATGGAAGCCGCTGTCGGTGGCTGTGGTGCTCTCTTTCATGCTTTTCTTCTTCCCTCTTTGTATATATTTCTTCTTTATTCAAAGCTTTAGTAGTTATCGGTTTACTCTTTACGGTAGAAAAAGAATGACTTATAATTTTAAACATTTTGAGTTTGATCAGTTTTTTTGAATCATAAATGTTTTGGTTTTGATAGTCTACTTTTGATCAAATTAGAAAGAAAATTAGTCTAAATACACATAAACTAATCTAGGATGTCTTAGTAATTGAAATTTCATCAAAAAACTTATGATTGTGAATTTTGTAAATAGTTATTTTGTGTAAATAATGGTGAATGTTTGGTTTATGTCCAATTTATTCTTGCCAAACCCCAATGATGAAGGCATTTTTTTCTATTTCTTTCAACTACAATTAACCAAATGTGTTACTTTTTACTCCATCCCAAGACAGAGAAAATGAAACATCTACGAAAATCACCCCGATTAAAACTGCAATGTTCTTCTTTGCGAAGGAGACAAGCAATGATGATAAACTACTTTTTAATAAGAGGTATTTTCAATTTTCTAGGGATGCTAAACCCCCCCCCCCTCCTCCCCTCTTTTTTCCCTTTATCTATGTGTTGAAAACCCTATAAAGACTACTTCAAATCTCTTGTTCATATCCATAAAGATTGCTTTAAAACTAATTAATGATGCACAAAACTGTCTCGTATAAGATCAACAGTTAAATGTGTGATAAAGTGTAATTAATAGACAATAAATAAAGTAATCAATAACAATAACGTAAATATTGAGTCAACACAGATATATAGTAGTTCGGTCCAGGTAACCTACTCCACTCTTGAAAACGGCAACGGTGGTCAGCGGCTCTTTATTGATGAAATAAGGTAAACAGTAGAGAGAGGAATGGGTAGCTCTGGGAGAGATACAATAACTAAGAGAGAAAAGCTATATGTGTTAAAGAGAGGTGTAGAGAGGTACCAAGATGTGTCCTCTCACGTAGAGATGACTTACAATTTATAGGTATGGTGAGACAGTGACGTGTGTGTGAGGGTACTAATTCTTTGGAGGGATAGTTATAAAAAGTAAGTACAATTAATTCTTGTGTATTAATTCCGATGATCTCTCCCCACATACTCTTTCCTTCATGGGCTCCTTGAATCTTGGACTGGGTCGAACTGGTGAACTAGACTTGGGTTGCCTTCATAGTGGGCCTGGACTTACTTGATTTATTGAGTTTGGCCTAGTTGGATTTGGGCTCGTCATTTGCCCCCTATGCCCCCAAATTCTTGTTGTGTCAAAGATTTTGAGGGTATAAGTGAGCTCCTCCTTTTGGGTAGAACAGATGTTTTGTTTCATATGGTGGCTTCCCTTCCTCCTAGAAGGGATGAGATCTAATGCCCCCAGTGCTTCCCAGTTGAGATCCAAAGGTCCTGCTGTTTCTCGAAATGTGGGGTTTAATNCAGATGTTTTGTTTCATATGGTGGCTTCCCTTCCTCCTAGAAGGGATGAGATCTAACGCCCCCAGTGCTTCCCAGTTGAGATCCAAAGGTCCTGCTGTTTCTCGAAATGTGGGGTTTAATGCCCCCAACGCTTCATATAGTTATTCTGCTTCTAGCAATGGTCTGGTGTCCCCTATTGTAGGATGTGAATTTTGGTTAAGAAGAGGTTTTGGAGGTTTGTGACACCATTGGATGTCAGCTTTTGGGGTTTAGAGGGTATCATTGATATCGAGATAGAGGACTTTGCCATGGTACCCCATTGTTATGTGGAACCCTCTCTTATGTATGCTTGGTCATGCTGACATATTAACTTTCAAAATTTTGTAGATGGCTGCGACTTTTCTGTACTTTTGAGGACGCTTAAACTCAACGAGGTGTTGAGAGCTTTGGTGGAGGAGAGATCTGGGCACCAGGCTGTAGTTAAGGTTGGTTTATGAGAGAGCAAAAGCTCTCAAGGCCGGGCTTTTGGAGAACAAGGACACTTATGTATAAGCACAGGTTGAGTTAGGTCGAGCTTGTGACGACTCTCGTGAAGGCCGTTAAGCTGGAAACATAGGTTGCATGCTTGAGAGTAGAGCAGAGATAGGCCAAACTTTTGGTGACTCTCGTGAAAGCCACTAAGCTGGAGACATAGGATGCTTGCTTGATAGCGGGGTAAAGCAGAGATAGGTCAAGCTTTTGATGACTCTCATGAGAGCCGCTAAGCTGGTGACATAGGCTGCCTACTTGAGATCAAGGTAGAACAGAGATAGGCCAAACTTTTGGCGACCCGTGAAAGAGCTGCTAAGTTGGAGATATAAGATGCCTGCTTGAGAGCAAGACAGAGCAGGAATAGGCCAAACTTTTGGCAACCCGCAAGAGAGCCGCTAAGCTGGAGAGATAGACTGTCTGCTTGAGAGTAGGACAGAGCAGAGATAGTCTAAGCTTTTGACAACCCGCGAGAAAGTTGCTAAGCTGGAGACATAGACTGTTTGCTTGAGAGTAAAACAGGGATAGACCAAGCTTTGATGGTGACATAGACTGCCTACTTGAGAGCAGGGCAGAGATAAGGCAAGCTTTGATGATGATATAGGTTGTCTGCTCAAGAGCAGAGGAGAGATAGACTAAGTTTTAGGCGATCCACGAGAGAGCCATTAAGCTGGAGACATAGACTGCTTGCTTGAGAGCAAAACAAAGATATGTCACGCTTTTAACGACTCTCGTAAGAGCAGCTAAACTGGTGACATAGGCTGCCTACTTAAGAGCAGGACAGAGCAGAGATAGGTCAAGTTTTTGGTGATCTGCGAGAGAGCCGCTAAGTTGGTGACATAGACTATCTGCTTGAGAGTAGGACAGAGCAGAGATAGGTAAAGCTTTTGATGACTCGCGAGAGAGCTGCTTAGCTGGAGACATAGGCTGCTTGCTTGAGAACAAGGCAAAGATAGACCAAGCTTTTTGGCGACTTTTGTAAGAGCCGTTAAGCTGGAGATTAAGACATGGGCGTTACTGGGCGAGGACGACGAGGTTGGGCATAAACGTCGAGGGGTGCTAGACACCGCTGGGCACAAAGGAGTCAAACGTCTTTAGTCCAGGAGTGTGGTCTCCCGAGGCTTGTAGAGCTATCTCCGAGATGTCGGGCTTTCTCGGGATAATGTCTGGGCTTGCCTTATGCTGGGTAGAGGCATCATGCACTGAGCAGGCGAGTTCAGGGGCGTGTGACACTTCCACTCGGGATTCCTGTGGTGGTGTAGACTCCCAAAACTCCTCGTGGAGGTGTAAACTCCTAGGAATCCCCTGGAGGTATAGACTCGCGTGCATGAGAGTAAAGGCAAAGTGAGGCCAAGCTTCCTGGCAACTCGCGAGAGAGTGCGAAGATGGACATATAGGGTGCTTGCATGAGAGCACTGTTGGGCACTGTGGCATGGGTGGCATTGGGTTTTCTTTGGTCGAATTCAAGGATTCTAATTAGGTTAAGGATTAGAATGAGTTTAACACTACAATCCATGCGAGGCCAGAGAACAGATGGTAATTTTTATTCTTGCTGCCCGCTCAATTTTAACCACCTTGTACAAACAAAGATGATGGCGGGGGAGTTTTGATAAACCTGTAAGACAATAGAAAATTTAGGTGAACCGATGGCTGGAGGCAGCCAAATGGACTTCGATGCTTAAGTCAGTAAACAAGTCATAGAAAAAATATATGATGAATAGGCTAGAATTCCATGACATACATGGTACTCGAAACCTTTATTTATAATGGTATAGGAAGCGGTGTTCCACATGGACTTGAATTTTAGGTTGTGATAGGATAAACTTCATTACTAATCTCTTAGACATTCGAGGTAGAGTCATATTAGGACGTTGAGTCCTAGATTTTAAGATGAGATGTGCTTGCCAGGAGGCGTTGTTTATCAACAGTCCCTTGATACTCAAAGTAGAGTTTCAATAGGTTTTTAGGTCCCAAGTCAATCTTTAACCAAGTAATAAGTGTGTATCGTTGGGCACTAACACTGGAGACTCCAAAAAAGGAGATGTCGATGAGGGAAGGGCTAGCCTTGTTGGTGGTGGCGCCCTGGGCATAGGCGTCGACAGAGAAAGCACTACTTCGGGTTGCTTGGGCGATGCCTGACTTGGGCAACGACTCCAGTCGTTGGGTGGCACCTTGGGTTGCTTGGGCGGTGGCTCAGGTCGCTTAGATGACGTCTCAGGTCTTTGGCGCTAGGCACTGACTGTTATGGGCATTGGTGCCAGGAGTAGAGAGGTCCTTTTTGGGTGGCATGCAAAAGGGCGATAGCTAGCCTGGGCGCTGGCTTGGGCAACGCCAGCCTTGGTGCTGGCCTGGGTGACGCCAGCATGGGAGATGGCCTTGGCGACGTCTTACAATCATTGGCATTGGGCGCTGATTGGTACTAGTACTGGTCATTGACGATGCTAGGGAGGCCTACGTGATGCTAGGGGGTGTAAATGGTCTGAGCGACGCCAAAAAGCCTGGGCAAAGCGAGGAGAAAGGAGCGGGAGTTGCGGCGTCGACTAAAGTATCAAAAAACTATAAAAAAAAATGACAAAACTTTGAATGGTCGTAACTTTGCGCTCGGTTGTCTGTCCGAAGGCGGTTTGGGCAACAAATTTCACCAAAAAAATACTTTTTTCTCTCTGAATTTGAGTTTTTAACCCCAAA